GCAAAATGTATATATTTGGTGTTTGAACATGTATCACCTGTTTTATTGTCCGAAAGGGTCAACCCTATTCTTATTTTGAACATTTTGATATTGGCAAAAGGTTCCACGATGTTGTGTAGTTGTGTACAATATATGTATACTAGTGTCATCGTTTCAACATCAGCAGCTTAACGTTTACGTTTTTTCCCCAACAATAGTCTTCAATAATAACAAGACAGGCATCCCATCTCGCGCTTTCAAACGCGCTTCTACGGCCGTCTGGAACGCTCTCCTTCCGATATTAGGAAGCCACTGGAGCTGTGCACGTTTAAATAATCTAGATTGAAAACTAATTTCTCTACAACGGCTTTTTGTGTTTAGTTTTTTTGTCCTTCCCTCGCACCTCCAATGAGCACGGTTGGCTACCTACTTTGTGAAAGTCCAACAAACGAAGCCAGAAAACATGATTAACTCAACAACAAGCAAAGTCCTTCCATCTCTCAAAAAAGTGCTCTCTCTGAAAACACATTCTGCAGTGCCCCACCCTCCATTCATAAAACGCCACTATAATAATAATTGGACGTTCGCGTTGTGTGTGCTGCAGAACTGCGTGTACAAAAGGTTGTGTTGCACTTAGAGAAACCAAGCGCCTACTCAGAGCATTGCCCTTCACGGGAACTTTAGCACCTGTGACCCAATTCTGGCAAACACTTACCTCGTCGTGACTCAGTACAAACTGGGCTGGACGGAAAAAAATACAAAGAGGGGGGAATAATTGCACCTTAAATTGTGTTGAACACAGCTAATTAACGTGTTTTGTTAACTTCAACAATCATGCACGCCTGCTTCGTGTGTTGGAGAAATGACTGGATGACATGAGTGGGGTTTTCTATGGCAAATCATGACTATTCGTCTTACAAAGTTACCATTCAATTAATCACGCAGAGTGTTGTGTCAAAATACTGAGCTAGAACTTCCGAGGCCCTGGCTTTGAATCTGGGTAGAAGCCGTGATCGAGCAAGGATTCCCAGCATTGTCTCAGCCTCGTCACCAGTGAAATTGGTTTCCAAATAAATTGGCAAATTGCATTTCGGAAGCTATTTTTTTATTCTAAAAGTGTGATTGCCATGCAGCAAACTCTACAGCAAGGCATGTGAGAAAGTGTAGATGAGAGACCACGTAGAAGAGATATCGGATGTTTGCATCACAACCAATGACTCCATGAATGTAACTAAGATCTGTATTGTGTAATAACATCTGTTACTTCGTAGGACGCCCATGAAATAGGGCCTAACAGATCATCGGGGCCTTCTTGCTGAAATAAATCAGAAAAATAAATCAAAGTAGTTCTTATTCTTGGGTCTTTCACCAAAGAGTCTGGATTCCTGCAGTCACGAAAGCTTCAAATCAATGCTAATCTCTCTTTAACATGCTAATTTTCACCTGGCAGCTCTTTGATTGGTGGAAAACGAACCACCGCCGAGCTTGCTGCCGAACACTTACATTATAATTGGCTGCTGACATTTGGGCTACGCCCATTTCAAACCCTTATAAACAGTTTCCCTTGGAAGCTAACCCCCCTTTTCCTGAAGACGACCGCTTGCGTTGCGACATGTGGGCATGAGAGTGCAATCCAAATGGCATGTGAGAGATCTAAGAGAGAGGCACAGAGAGAGAGACACAGAGATTCGGAAATAACAGCTGACATAGGCAGGTAGGATGAAAACATCAGTCAGTTAATACTTTACCTGGTTAATAACGTCCTTCCAATGATTGCTCGGTTTGTACCCATATTCTCGGTTGAAGTTGTGTCTGTGTTTATTTATCTGGATGGCTTCATGAACAAATCTCTGAAGGTAGCCGGTGGGTTTGCAGAGTACCTTCGTCTTGGAAAAATCAATTTCGTGTGAGCCCACAGCGTTAAAACAATTGTAGCGGGTTTTATGGAAGTCGGAGACGCATCTTTGGAGGCAACACTTTTATTCAAAATAAACACTGCAGTACAGCCCCAGTCTTACACAGGGCAATGGCCCTTCTAACTCCTGCCTGGGGAGGTACTGCCTCCGGGCTAGCGTGCCCTATCACGTGGCTACAGGCTCTGGGTCCTCCGGCGACTAGTGCCCTAGGGGAGGCTGCACCGACCCGACCCAGCCAAGGTACTGGGTCCCGACCACTGGCCCACTCGGACCCGGCTCTTACAAGGACGTCGGGCCGGGGGTTCCCATGGTGAATTCGATGGCTGGGTCTTCCTCGGCTCCATATTAAACAGGTCCCTGCAGGGTGGGCTGGTAGGAACATTGGAATTTTACGCAATTTTATTTTTACACCCCAACAGCACGAGATTTCACTTCATTAAAGTATTGAAAGGGGACGGACGGACGGACACATTAATCTATTGCAGGCTGGTACACTCAGTTTACAACTTCGTTCCTACCAGTAATAAAATCACATCTGTGTAATTTATCCAGGCTTCCCTCTGCATCTCATTTTAAGTGTCCGTTTTTTTATATGTACCTGTGTACATTATACGTTTCAAATCTACGTAAAAATGTAGTCGACCAAAATAATGCATTTAGCAATGGAATGTTTGCAGGGTGACACTTGTATTCAAACATTGAACATTTAAAATGATCAATTAACAGCCATCCTCACGTGGACTTTACTTTTTCCAGTCGCCATTGAAAATCCCAAGAATGAAATTACTATGACAAGCGTGAGGTGAGCACCCATTGCACCTGGGCTCCCTACAAAGTGTTGCTCATTACGCATTGCAGTTGAAGATGTCACATGATGCGCAATGCGCGTTTTGAGTGCGAAGGCAAATTTAGGCCCCTTACCCGGGCGGTGGTGGCGCACATCTGTAATTCAGCGCTGTGGCAGCAAGCAAATGTGGTTTGCCAGAAGGCAGGACAGCAAAAAAAGACATAGGACTCCACCTGTTCCGTGTGCATGGGAACGTGTTTACTTTGCACGTGTAGTGAGTCCAACTGAGTTGCAGACGTTATCTTAAGAGCAACGCTATTTATTTACACAACAGTACGTAACATAACACAATCTACACTCGGGTCTCGAAAGCCCATCGAACCACGCTACGGCAGAACTAGACACTGTTCGCTATCCCGGTCCGGACCACAAACGGGGTCCCAGACCGCGTGGCTAGAGGCTTCTTCTCCCCAACGTGGATCTTCTTGACACCAGCACAAGAAGAGCTCCTCACGGGGCCCTCGTTATATGCCCCCGGGCTGGGGCTGGGGCTGGCTCCGACCTTCGCCCCACCCATCTTCCAGATCTCTCGAGCTCCTTTAGACCACGTGACCACCCCACAGCCCCCGTCCACCGGTGGCCCCCCTCCAATATCATCCGGTCACGTGACAGCAGGTCAACCCGCGTATCATGCCTTTGTATTGCACTCTCATGCTCAGATGTCCTTTGGATTACACTCTCATGCTCACATGTCTTTTGGATTACACTCTCATACTCACATGTCCTTTGGATTACACTCTCATACTCACATGTCCTTTCTATTACACTCTCATACTCACATGTCCTTTGTATTACACTCTCATACTCACATGTCCTTTGGATTGCACTCTCATACTCACATGTCCTTTGGATCACACTCTCATGCTCACATGTCCTTTGGATTACACTCTCATGCTCACATGTCACTAGGATTACACTCTCATGCTCACATGTCACTAGGATTACACTCTCATGCTCACATGTCCTTTGGATTACACTCTCATACTCACATGTCCTTTGGATTACACTCTCATACTCACATGTCCTTTGGATTACACTCTCATGCTCACATGTCACTAGGATTACACTCTCATGCTCACATGTCCTTTGGATTACACTCTCATGCTCACATGCCCTTTGTATTACACTCTCATACTCTCATGCTCACGTGTCCTTTCTATTACACTCTCATACTCACATGTCCTTTGGATTACACTCTCATACTCACATGTCCTTTGGATTACACTCTCATACTCACATGTCCTTTGGATTACACTCTCATACTCACATGTCCTTTGGATTACACTCTCATACTCACATGTCCTTTGGATTACACTCTCATGCTCACATGTCACTAGGATTACTCTCTCATGCTCACATGTCCTTTGGATTACACTCTCATGCTCACATGTCCTTTGGATTACACTCTCATGCTCACATGTCACTAGGATTACACTCTCATACTCATATGTCCTTTGGATTACACTCTCATGCTCACATGTCCTTTGGATTACTCTCATACTCTCATGTCCTTTGGATTACACTCTCATGCTCACATGCCCTACAGTCCATCTCTCACAATCGCAGGACGTTATTAACCAGGTAAAGTCATAACTCACTGTGATGCTTCTGTCCTTCCTGCCGTGTGGCTGTTATCTCTGACACTCTCTGAGTTGCATTGCCCTGTGGGATGCCTTTGCATTAACGAGCTGGGGTCTCACTAACATGGCCACTTCTGCTCCCTTAGCCTCGATGTATCGTTGGTTCTTACTGTGTTATGGGCCGTCTCGCTGGCATGGTCACTGTTGCGGTGTTCTCTTGCGTCGTCGCTCTTGCCTCGTGGAGGCCACTCTCCGATCTTACATTTACATGCTAATTTCTCACATTACCATCACTAGCCCCACCCACTTCTTTATGACCCTTGGACTACACCCATTTCAAACCTATTAAAAGTCTGCCTCAGCAGCAGGTCATGGTTTCTCGCCTGATGACGGACGCTTGCGTTGCGCCCGAAACGTCGTGATTTATTTCATTTTCTACCTACGTGACTTTACCGAAAGAACCAGAGTATGAATTCCTGCAGTCACGAAAGCTTCAAATATAGATCTTCAAGTCCTTCTTCAAGCACTCGTGGAGCTCATCTGCCCCTGATCTCTCAATGCAGCAAGTTATTGGAAATGAACGTGATCAAGTGAACACCGCTCCACCAGAGACTCATGGTGCTCGACCCCATTCATCAGAGGCACGCAGATGACCGCCGTTTCGTCGCAATTGAATACTTTGGTAAATTATTTTATATTTTATTGTTTTTTTTTGGTAAAAGTACACACGTCATCCTTTCCTTGACATACAACATATCAAAAAAATATTTTCTATGCTGCATAACCATTCATTTTAGCATTAAGTGCAACTTGAAAATATTACAGAATACACATTCTACTTAGTAGCAGGAATTGAGTGTTGTTATATTTTAAACTTGCTTCACGTAAAACACATGTGTGATGAAGGATCAGCAGGAGAAAGCAACAAGAGCAAAACTGTTTTAGGTTTCCTTGTTTGTGCCCTCTCTCAATCACAGGCGTATTTTATGTCCAAACAATTGAACATGTCAGGAGGGAAAAGCACGTGAGAAACATTTTACCCAACATAACTAAAATATGTCGATTAATTTATGGAGTTAACAAAATAAATAAAAGTGTGCTTGTAAACATCTGCATGTTACTATTCTCCTCATTAACTGTGGAAGATGTTAGATATTGTAAAGATTGTTGAAACAACTGTCCTGGATCAGCAAGAAAAGTAAACTCTTGACTTCGCAGTTCTCTCAGACTCAAGAAATCGATCGACAAAAAACAACTATCATTAGTTTCTGTTAACTTATGTTTGGTGCTTAGGCTCTGAGATCTGGTATGAAGGCTGACTCTTTGTGTGTGTGCACGCACCCGCTGTACGCATTGTCGATTACAGTAATGAAGCACAGATCGAATTAACAAAAAAATAAACGTAACCACTAACTGGTCTTTTAAGCTGAAAGGGTTGCATCATCAGTGTACTGGCACTATTCTGGAACAGGAAAACATTGAAAAGGTAGCAAATCCTAGTTTGCGGACAGGTTTTGGGGAAAAATATACAACAAATAAATTTTGCATATCAAACTACGTATATTACCAAGCAAACTCTTTAAAACAACATTAAGTATCTTCATTCGCGACACCATATACATACACCAGCTTGTTTTTATTTCACAGTCCATGAGTCACCATATCTCTGAGCTTGATCTCACACATCAACCAGTGTGAAGGGACCCTGTTCAGAACATATGATAATTATATATTCTAATTCTTTTGGCCAATGTGAAACGTGAATATTTTTGTTCCTAAATATGTCCTCCGAACCAAAAGTGATTACATTTTCTTTGATCCATAAGCGACACCGTAGGACACTCCTAGCAGACTCGACAATGGAAATACTGTCCGTAGACACTGTGGTTTGGTACAATTAGCGAAGGGGGGAGGGAATGAGTTCAACAGAGGTAAACCCAAAGATCCGTGTCAGTAGTGGTCTGTGAGGCAGGCGGTCTTCCTGGCCTTCTGCATGAGTGCCCTCAACTGGAACTGCTTTCTGGCGAGCAGGCGCACGTGCTGAACAGGGAGTGGACACACAAAAACGGAGGCATTCATAGAAGAATTGAAATCGTAACACGCACACAGCATTCGCTCACTCTCTAAGAGATAACAACTCAGAAGTGCGAGGAACACCGGCAAGCGGGGGAAGGCAGCTAGGCGGTGAGCCGGTGTTCAAAAATTGCCCAAGCTCTGCGATCCCCTTGATATGATGTTTTCAGTTTTCAACTAATGAGTGTTTACATGCGGCAGGAAACCGGAGAACCCGGTGACAAAACCACGCGTGCGATGGGGGCAACACTCTATCCCATACAGATGGAACAGCCGAAGTCCACATTTTGCTGCTGTACATTCTCCCGGCGAGCCAGGGTTATGGGCTCATCGACGCGATGGGAAGGGAGTTTTACAACATTTGTGCAATCCACCAACCCTCGCAGTGCTCGGTAACAGGAGTCCATAGTCACGCCAAAGCATTATTTTGTTTGTACTTTTTTCGTGACAAAACATGAATATCCTCATACAACTAAGAGAAAATGGTAGTAAAAAGGGAGTAAAAATAACTCGGGCACAGCAGCCTCAAATTTTTACGAGACGTTTCAACTATAATGATCACCGGGTTCGTAACATGTGCCTGTACAACTCGGTGAAATGCAAGTGAAGTTGAGCTAAATATCCACTTACTGGACAGAGCGCTATATTTTACGACATCCCAAGTTTCCCCGGTGAGAGAATTGTCTCAACGGTGTATTTAAAATACCTGCAGTAAGCAGTGTAGCCAGTAGAATTTTTAAATGTACTAATCTGGATATCTTATTGGAACATTTCTCCCTCATGTGGATACATTTTTGCAGCAAATCCAGTCTATTCACAAAAATAAAGGGCCAACATTAAAAACACTATTTTGAAAAAGGCTCCATGATGTTTTACATCAAGTAAAATAGAAACATTTTCTTCAATGAAAAACGAAACAAAGCAGGAGTAAAGCTTTCACGTCCACGCATTCACTGACAAGTATTAGTAAATGACCAATCTCCCTACAGCCTGAACGTATATGACATGACTCTGTTGCATGCATATTCCTATGCCGGTGTTCATAAAAAAAGTTGCACAGAAGGATCTATATAATTTCCATTTAACACGCACAGTTCTCTTTCACCTACCGGTGTAATGCCACTACCTGTCAATTATTGTTCCACGGCTCCACAACACCCACTACTTCCACCATTACCTATGTATACAGCCCTCGTCCCGATTCTGGAGCTCCACTCCATACCTATTATGGGCTTAATCATTTTGCATCTGTACTGTGATCGCAACTGGCCATTGAGTATCACCTCCATGTGTACGATTATTTAGGCAATGCTCATCTGTAATTTACATTTTTACATTGATAATGATGAAGGCTTTTTTTTGCAGCAAACCGCCTCCTTTTGTAGACACTTTGTCGTCTTAAATGAGCGAAAAGACGACTTTTTCCGTCAAGGAGTGAAAAATTACCTTCAGGAACACGTCCAGATCAATGACTCCCTGGCGCAGCGCTTCTCCCAGATAGAATATGGTGTCTTCAATGGCGTTCTCCTCTGCGTACAGGTTCAGGATCTGCTTGTACAGCGGTGCCGTTGTCACCACAGCCTCGTCAATGTTACTCGATTCCGACTGGGACTCCATCTTTTCTAGAGCTGATGTGATCTCTTCATCCTTCTTCTTCAGCAGATCAATGTTCTGATCTACATCACCCTGAAGGGCAGGAAACATCGACTATGATGAATAAATCCACATCCTAAAACAAATTAGGACAACGTTTTTCTCATATTGCATGACCAACTATTCGTTTAAAAAAGTAATGTTTTTTAATTATTATCAAATTTTATCTTTTCAGAGTTTTATTGTAAACAAATGTCCACACTTGGACAATCTAGTCCAGGAATTTAAATTTCTTCATTATACTCTTTTGTTTTTTTTTCGGTAAGGTCACGTAGGTAAAATAAAATAAAACTAAATTAAATCACGACGTTTCGGAGGCAACACAAGCTTCCGTCTTCAGGTGGAACAGTCACAGCAGAATCGCTGTACCAAGTGGGGAGCTCTTGAGACGGACGACCGGGATTATATACAGGTTAAGAGAGGGGGAGGAGCCATGAAAGGGACGTAGGTGGCGGGGAGGGTTGAGTTAAGCCGCCTTTTGTTATGCTGCAGGGGGTGTTTGGGGGGAGCGATGGCGCGCTGCACAAAAGCAATTGCAACCCCATTTTTGTTAGAAAGCAATGGAAATGGCTGTACGATTATACGGCAGCTAACGTTTGACTTGGTTTATAACATCTTTCCAATGGTTGCTCAATCTGAAACCATCCTCTCGGTTGAAGTTGTGTCTATGTTTGTATATCTGGATAGCTTCATGGACAAATCTTTGGTAGTATCCGGGAGGTTTGCAGAGTACTTTGGTATCAGAGAAAACAATGTCATGAGAACCCGCTGTGTTGAAACAATGATCAGCCACGGCCGAAGAATTCGTTCTGCCGTGTTTCAAATCTGATTTGTGCTCGCGGATTCGGTCAGAAATATGTCGTTTCGTCTCCCCGATATACCAGTCACCACAGGTACAACTCAATTTGTAAACACCAGGGTACTGTAAGTCAGGAATGACATCCTTTACGGATGAGATCAGATCACGGATTTTGTGTACTGTACAGAACTGGACCTGGATCTTGTGTTTGTTTAGAATTTTGGAAATCTTTTTTGGTAATGCCTGCTATGTATGGTAACGTGATCATTTTTATTATCAGGTGGTTGTTTCTGTATGGTGGGAGAAACAGCTTGGCGGATAGATGGTCAAGAGTATCCGTTCATCTTGAGGGCCAGATGTACATGTTTTAATTCACTGGCCAGGTGGTGTTGGTCAGAAATGCAATAAGCCCGATGGTATAATGTTTTGATGAGAGAATTATTTTGAGTCGCTTGGTGGTGGGAATCAGGCTTCAAGTAGGAGTCTGTGTGGGTAGACTTCCTGTAAACAGAATGTCCCAAAGAGCCATCGGTCCTCCTCTCAAACAGAACATCCAAGAATGGCAGCTTGCCATCTTGAAGTCACGAAAGCTTCAAATCTAGAATTTCTTCATTATGTGAAGGGCAGTGTTTACCTGTTTAGGAAGGCTCACACACCTGCACAATAGCAAATTCATTAGAAATTCATTAGAAACATGAACATGAAGAAACCCTAAATGTATGGTGGGAATTAATTCAGAAGCTTCTGTACATCTACCTAGAACCCACAATCTACCTACAGCAGGGGTTGGTAACCTTTAAAAGAAGAAGAGACATTTTATCATCATCATTAGACCTCCTTTGCCAGTACCAAAATGTAATAATATGGTTTTTCCCCATTTTTCTGGAAACAAAACTGAAACCTTTTTACAAGGATTCATGTCTGCATTAACCACAATACCTGCAGTCAAAATGCAAACAAAAAACATACTATGATAATATATGCATTGTCCTTGAAACTGATTGGTCCACACCAAGGGACGGCTTTCTTTTGAGTCTCGACCCAATTGGTATTATTATAAGAAGAGACATTGTTTTGTTTTTAAGAGCCGCATCGCACACAGAGAGCTACTTCACTCAGACACAGCAGGTATAGAGCAGATGATAAATACTTCGTGATTCAGGTGATGGTGTAAACTGCCATCCATTTAGTTTTTTTTTCCTCATTAGTTATTCTTTAACAATACTAGTTGGACTGCTGTACATTGCATTGTCAGATTTAATCAATTGTTCATTCTCTTTGCGTTGAATTACATTTAACATTTAAGTTAAAAAAACGGCTTAACACGTAGGCTTTCGCGACCAATATTATTCATAATAAAGGTTTTTGGGTTAGATCGCGATGATGCTGGATGTATTTACCAGCAAAAACGTCGTACTCAAACTGTAAATGTGGATTCACTCTTCAACACACCGGTGGGCTAAAGTAGTGAATTATTTGTCTTTTGTCAACGTGACACTTTTTTTTTTTTGCTGATTGGCCGTGTCGGGTGGTGGAGGGTTACGACACATTTATAAATAAACGCGATCTAACCCAAAAACCTTTATTGTGAAAAAAACGGCTGCCCGCAAAGGGGCAGCCAAAGAGCCACCGCATGCGGCTCAAGAGCCGCAGGTTGCCAGCCCCTTACCTAGACGGTACATGGCAAACAATCCACTCTGCGCCTGCTCTTATCACTGTGCGCACGCCTACAACAGCAAACAGAACGTTGCGAAGCCCGCGTTGGTGTGCGTGCGTGGACGGGTGATGCGAGGGGCTACGCACGATCTCGCGGGTGATGCGTCCGGCCATATCCTGCAGCGATCGCTGACCATTGCGCAACTCCTCCTCGGTGCGCTGCAACGCCTCCAGCTCCGCTTGCGCGCGGCTCACCTCCTCGTTCAGGCGCCAGCGCAACTTGTCAGTGATGGCCGACACCAGCGACGCGCGGATGTGCTCCTCCGAGATGACGCCGTCCCTGGACATGGCTGAGCGCAACGACATCGGGGGTGAATTTATGCTCGCGAACGGCACCTCAGCTGTTTTCTGCAGCGTGCATCTTCGGCCTTCTCTGCGCATTGTGAAGGGTGAACATCTCCGTGCAGAAACGCTCACCATTTCCTTGGCTTGTAACAATAACAAGTTGTGTGCCTCGCGTAATTCTGAGATATTCATATGAAGTAGTTCCATTTCAGCAACTGTTGCTATTTCAACAAGTCCACTGTGGAAAACCCAAATCCTTGCCAATCCTGCAAAAGTTATGGTCATCCAGCAAGCCTTATATCCACAAACGAGAGGGATCAGACATGGGTGCAAGAGATGTGCACAACTGTATGGCAGTCTTGTTCATGTGACTACGTGCACATATTGATAATTCAGAAATACGAAAAACAATAATTTTTTTGATGGAGCACATGTGGTGAACAACACTATCAATAACTCGGAACTTCAAGCAAGCCATCCGTGGTCAAACTCAAGAGCATGTTTGGAGATGCACTAAGAGACATCAAACTGTTTTTTGTGCCTAATCCAGATTAACTTAAATTTTTATTTAAAGCTTTCGTGACTGCAGTAATTCATATTCTTAGTTCTTTCGGTAAAGTCACGTTGAAGGGAAACAACAAAATAATAAAATATATAGAAACAATAAAAATTATCACGACGTTTCGACCATAACACAAACGGTCGTCTTCAGGTGTGTTGGTTATGGTCGAAACGTCGTGAGAATTTTTATTGTTTTATATATATTTTATTATTTTGTTGTTTCCCTTCAACGTGACTTTACCGAAAGAAATAAGAATACCAGATTAACTTGTTTTGTGGACTTCTATCTGCAGGGATCCTATTCAGCAGACCCCATTTCTTACAAACTGAAAATAGTCTGATGAAAGAAACACTGCTACATTTCACTTGTAAGCAGATGAGCTTCATATATAGTCTACAATTGCTGTGCCAGGCCTACAAGGAGTGGCATGCTAACGGGTGAAAGCAGAGAAACTGTGAATAACTCCTGTTCTATGCTTGTAAAAAATGTCAATACATTTTAATCAGTGTAAGGCAAGATATAACATTAAATGGCCCGCATCCATTATGTGCACATATAAGACGGGTTCAGGTTTGTGGCGTATTTTCACATGCCTCCACGCAGTAAAGAAACACTGTGTTCTGCCGCTGCCACCCTGTGGCTTGGTATACATTGCAGCTGCCAACACAATGATGTTCCAGCACCTTACCAGACGTCCCAGGAACTGGCTGACTGCCGTAATGTGGTTGGCTGATTTGGGGTTGGGCTGGTGGTGGGGCTGGATACGCAGAGCCTCCAGAGAATGGGTAAGGAGGATAGTTTGTACTGCAAACAAAAAAATCACACACAGCTTCATCACAATGGTGACACAGAGAAGCTCAACATTTTTTTGTCACATTGTTAAATAGCTTTGCAGGACACAAAGGCCCTGATTCACATTTGGTGGGTTGTACATGTTTTGACAACCGCATTCTTTGAAATAGCAGTAACTAGTTTCAAAAAAGAAAAAAATATGCCTCTGGGGACATTGTTTTTCCCATTGCATAAGACAATAATATAGATATAGAAGCCAAATATGGAGTTTTTACAAGAAAATGAAGATACTACCAACACAAATCCTACTGTATATACCACCAGCACATTTGCCCTGGATCCCTATACAAATTATGTAACATATATGCAGTCATACCTCGATAAGCTAATATTCGATATACGAAGTTTCAGTGTAACAAACTTGGGATTTATTACCATTATATAAATGGAAAGATACATGTACTAATATAACAAATAAAGACACTGAAATAAATAACATCATCATCCATCTGCAGCACTATATGAATAAGAATAAAATTATAATAAGATACGTTTCTTAGAGCGTTGAGCATTGTTTACATTTGCCTCGACCATTCAGCGCACAGCAACGCACTCTGTTATGGAGTTATGGTGTTTGGTGGGTAATGCAACCTGATTACTGCATTGAAGACTACACTGGTGAGTGTGAATATATTTTCACGGTAAAGTACACCATTTCTTTTATTTATGTCAGTTTTTAATTTAATACTGTACAGTATAAAATATATTATTTGAAATAAAAAAAATGCCTTTGTTTACAATATGAATGGTAAGTTATGAAATGTTTATAGTATTGAAATGGTTAGTTACGATGGGTGGGAACGCATCCTCACAGTTCTGTTATAAGTTATTCAACATAAGAAGTTTTGATATACGAACGAAGCTCCAGGAACGCATCTACTTTGTATACTGAGTTATTGCTGTCCATGCGGAATGTACAGATGGCATGACACATCGCTAAGTAAATTAAACAAAGCTGTTGGTTGGTTTTCAAAGTATTTGTCAGAAAGGAGGTACAGCACTAGATTTTCAGTGTCCAAATGGTCTCTTCATTTTCAATTAAAAGTCTTATTTCGTGTCACATACAAAATAAAATAGTTTACAGCTTTTGCATAATCCACTTGTGGCTTCTCCATGTTTGGACTGTACTTCATGCTGGTCGGTTTGGATTGGTGAACGGGGGAGGGGAACCAGGTCAAGTTTAGATAGCACAGATATTAGCTGTGGTTGGGAATTGAACTCAGACTAGCTTCGATCATGGTGCATTGTATAATTTTTATAGAGCTGGAATATTTGATCATTTAAGTGATGACACCACTGATTATCTGTTAAATTAGTCAACCACTTGGCAGTTGTATTTATATAAAAATAGCCACTGGGTAAATTTTTTAAAAGAAATCTTAGCTTCAAGATTGATGACACAAAGATTGTTTACTGATTTCTTTAGTATGCAAAACTATTATCAACGATAGAATAGAAATATACAGCGATTGGCAGACTTACTTGGCTGTCGGCTGGTATGGGTAGGTGCCTCCTCCTGGCACATAGGATCCTGCAGTAAATAAACAGAAAGGCAATGTTGGATTATAACGCAATGAAATGTATCTTACTTAACAATATGAATAAAGTGATGACATCTCCAACAGGTTGTCAATATTTACACTTGTTATGATCAAACACTCTTGTTTATGAAGCTCCTTCTCTGGACCATGGTTTTAAATAGATTATTTTTGTTTGCCTTTTTATATATTCCCTTCTCTTCAGTGCCACGTTGATTGTAACATGCTTTTTTAAAGCGATTATGATCCATATTATCGTTGTTCTTCTAAAGGAGTTGAATGTTTGTATTTACAATCAGTTGAACTACTCCTCCCTCCTGAACTGATATTTGATGCGTTTGTTTTTTTGTTCCCTATCATAATTTTTTTTTAATGCATTTGGAAATACTGGCAATGGATTGACACAGGCACCAGGGTGTTAACAGTTCCTGTGTTCAATGTCGTGAAAGACAGAGATATCCCTGGCATTCTGAGGATTGCCCTCGATAATCATTCCACTTCATTTATTTTATTTCTCGACATCAGCTCCTCTGTGGACCATTTACAAAAGGTGATCAATATCTTCACGTTGCTGCTGCTGGCTGCAAACCATAACATATCTCCTTTCATTCATCTCTCTAATGCCAAATTTGCCAATTGTCCTCTCATTTCTCTAGCCCTCTTACCTACCTTTTTATTGAAGTCTCCCATTATAACCCTAACCAATTGGGTGCCGTGGTGGCGAGATGTTAACTACCTCGCATGGTATACTGGAGGTTGTGGGTTCAATCCCCACCCTGATGCCTGTACACTTGGAGTTGGCGTGTTCTCCCCGTGGCCGTGAGGATTTTTCGTCAGGTTCTCCGGTTTTTACCTTCACATTTAGAAACAAGCATTTGGCTGCTATGTATTTGCACGTGATAAGCCACTTCGTTGAGCTACCATTTGTGGCCAGGTCGCTTCTGAGAAAGAAAAGTGCTTTATAGCTCTGTGGGTCTTTCCTGGTAAAATAAAATAAAAAATATTGTGTACAAGTATTAAAACTCATTAATTGGCTAAAAACATTCGAATATATAAAGAATACTGCAGATCTTGGGTCAATATTGGTTCCGGTTCATCTTGCCTGGATTTCTTCCAGCGTTGTCTGCAATTCCTCAGTGTTTGTGACATGCAATTTACATGAACAAAGATGCAATATACATCTAAATATTATTATGATGTAGTGTGATTTGTCCTGGTTTATAAATTGGTTCATTGCTTCATACACGTGGTATACTTCTACATTGTCATGGTGTATGTTTTAATTACTTTGTGAAATCAAGAACTTAACAAAGAAAGCTGCAAAGTGGGGCTCAAAACATGAGCAAAACAATACATCTTGTTATATCTCAACCGAAGGAAGACGGCAGATGACGTCCAAATAGTCCTCACAAACTATCTGTTTAATTCACAAGTGAGAGTAGGTGGTTAGTTCTCCTATGAACTGATCATACACAACCTCCGTTAAGGATATTTGTAAATTGTAATATCGTCATACCTCTACACGTTAGCAACACATTTCCAAAACTATTTTAGATAAACTTCATATTTCATTTGAAATCTAGAGCCCAGCATATATATATATATATCTCTGGCATCTGCAAGTAAGTTGCTGGTTCCATGTGACGCGTAGGAACGAGCGGGAGGAATAAGAAACGGTGTTCCAACCACCACCCATTTACCCATGGGCGGTCCGGCTGCTGGGTACGAAGGGTAGCCATGGTTGAAAGGGCCCATGGGGGCCACGGCCTGGCCAGCGGAGGTGCGGGAGAACACAGGCGGCTCTTCCCCAAACACCACCAGCATCACCTGGATCAGGCCCACCAAGTCCGACGCATTCTGGAAACACAGACTGCGTTTAAATACAACGTAATCCAGAGCACAAACATGAGCGTATCCCTTTTCACCAAAATCGTGACTCTGAAGGCATAATTTAAATATATATATACATCATATTATTAGGAAAGATGCGTGCATGCTCACAAAATACACAAATACTGCATAAACGTAGAGTCACTGACAAAGTAATTAAACAAAAGTGAGGACAGCTACAAGAAAATAACAGAAGAGAATATAGTATAAGAATCACGTGCAATGGAAATAAATTACCAAAGGTGGCTGTGAATAGGACCGATTAGTGGCTATAGGAGGCAGAGGACATAGAAAATGCTAACAAGGAAGCCAGCAGACATTTAAAATTACACACATGATGCGATTCTTTATAGAATTTGAGGCGCAGCAATATTCTTGCCCGAGGCTTTTTTACACAAAGCTTTGCTAAAAAATGTGACATGTAACGCTACCAACAAATGGCTTTGTGTTGGGGTGGTTGCATGCCTCAGGGAGCTCATGTCAGAATACAATCAGCACAACTGATTAGCCACCTGCAAGTAAACCAGATTTTCATCTGTAGTCAATTAGTTTGATCTGGTAACCAATAAACGCACAGGAAATATATCCGATTGGGTTCAACTGAAACCTGCTGGATCATTTGGGAAAAAAGGGCGCAAAGAGCCCTACATATCAATGTACACATCATCTCAACAACCTGTAGGGGGTACATTGACAACTGAAAGATATTTGCGAAAGGTATTTGCTGTCATGTCCAGGCCATTCCAGGATGAGAGATGGGGAGTATCAGATATATTTTTTTCTGATAATACGGTTTGGACAGTATTGGTGAAATATACAAAAAAATACACCTTAAAGAAATAACTCCCATGCAAATCTCAATTGTAATACAACGACATTTAACAACATACAGACTGCAGCAGACACAAGACACCACTCACAGCTTTCCACTCGTGTAGATAGGGCAGGTACACACGGCCATTTGCATCAACGTGTTTTCCCTGCTTAATCAACATCGTGCTTGTGGGCTTCACAAAGCAGATGGGAGGGTTGTATGGATGTGTGTCAAACAGCCAGAGTTGCACAGGAATGTTGTAGATGCTTCCTGTAAGAAAGAAACTCGTGTCAACGTTTTACACCAACTGTGCATGTCACCACCGAAAACTAAACAAGACTATATATTGGTATTGTAAAAACACAAGTACAATGTTTGCCATAGTTATCAAAATGTGTTTACATGGCCATTGGAGGATAACAGCACGATACTTATCATAGCTATACTCTATGCTTCCGACTAGGTGGAACATGGAAAAAATTAATCTGGCACATGGATGTGTCTTTGAAGTGAGACATATGTATGCTTTTGCACCGAACGTTGAGTCTCATCATAGCCAAAACACCACAGCTGAAAGCACCAAGGTGGGGAGAAGGAAATGAGTTGGCATGTTGGCGTTATGCCATCTTATTTGCCAACAAATAAGTAGCAGAATTACTATATGGGTGTCATGATTGTGATGACAATGAAACTTTAATTTCCCTTGCATGTTACTGAAATGTAAATTGCCCTGTAGCTATTGATGTCGCCTAGCACATTGACAGTCTATTAAGCCACTATTTGTGTTGGCTATAAGCATAGGATTTTAGTCGGATTTTAATAAGAATGAGCCAGCATATTTGATGTTGTAACAGTTACAAATTCCAAGAGCATGAGACGGGCCTGTTTGAATTTTGCCACACATTCCAAGTATGCGTGTTCACTTCTTCTCCAATAGCATTGTTGGGTGTTGGTTATGAAGGACAATGTCAGAATGCAGGCCTCACCCATGGGTGTCCATTTCAGGACGATTGTGTACAAGATAACTCGCTAAATTGTGGCATGTTCCCCATTATTAACACGCATCTCCATTCGAATCAAGTATTTATCCTGCCCCTTTGTCTTTGTTCTTTTAATGTATCTTACATAGGGAGGTCTGGTTTATTTTTGCTGAAAACTTTCCTCAAATGCTTGGGGGATGTAGAAGTTAAGGTTGACTTCAACCTGCACCAACAAGCGGGGTGCCAGCCACACCACGGGAGTTGGAGAGGTTTCTACTTCGCAAGGAACCACGGTTTTTAACTGCATAGGGAAGTGCTACGCTGCTGACACAAGCAAGCATACCTTTAACAAAATTATAAACCTGTTTTACTTGATGTCAAAGGGTGTGGGACTGCATCAGTGAAATGCCTTTGCTTGGTGATATAGGATGAAACTTGAATAAACTGTAATTGAAAACATCCTAAATAAAAAAATGCAGTGCACAGATTGAACACGTGAAATAACGGGCGTGTAAAATGTTACCTCTGTAGTTTACAGGTATGGTTCCATTGAGACTTACAAGTTCCCTTGCCGTGCCATCATTGAACACTAAAAAAAAACAATAAGATTAACCCAAGCCACAAACAACAATAAAAAACCCATTCACACATTAGCAAGGAATATTCAAGTTGATACAAAATGTACTGCCATAAACAGCTAGTTACTAACTGGCTAGTCTGGTTGTATTTAAATGTGTGTATTTAAAAAAAAAACTAATTACAACAATAGCATTGTGGATTTTTGCAATGCTAATTACATTAAATTTCTGTTTTAACCACTCTAAAATTATAGATGTTACTTGGTGCAGCTGTAAATAATGCGACAATTACAATTTATAACTATCACAGATTATTCCTCGCACTACATTCCACTATGTAAAAAAAATACTCCCCACTAACTTTTCATCCATGAATGAAAATAAACTCAGAATGTATACGACCATAATTAATTATTCAAAGTGTGTGGAATGCATCGGCTATATTATCATGCATGCCATCACAGCAACAGGTTGAAAAAATACACATTTGCATCCATATTGCTCAACCTTTGAGCATGCGCGTGGTGCTTTGGTGAGTCACTCTGCTGCACAGGTATACAGAGTGAATTACACAACACACAAAGCATGTGATAAGCTTTATCTTGGGGCCTTAATAGATTGGTTAGGAGTGGCAAGAGATATGACTGTAGAGACAGAGGAGCAGTGATGGGAGGGTGGCGGGCGAGTCAGTGGGACATTTGCCTACAACGCTCTGAACACAGCGAGGCAGCATGGCCACGACACCTGAGAGGGGCAGGCAGGCAGGTGGCACAGCACTAAGCTACAATGAACGCAGCAACCCATAGGCAAACAGGTTACAGGGCACCGTGTTGCCAGGCGACTAAGGCCCTATGACAGAAAATAACCGCAGGTCACAGGTGAGGCTTTGAATTACAGGCCACAAGAGCCCTATTTAGCGAGAGCAATAAGGGGCTTTTATAAAAAAAAACAGAAGGCAGATATGGAAAAAGCAGGGCAGTAAGATGTGGCTGGGGGAGGAGGGGGGTTACTGTGTGGCAGGAAGCGTAGTCAGTTGGGTAACGATGGCAGCAGGATGCTTCTGGGCTCATGGGACCGAGAAAAGGTGTCTTGGAGCCCTTTCACATTTGCGATTGCACAAAAACAAGTGCAATATATTGTCGTTTTAAAAAAAAGGTTATGAAAAGTAACCAACCAGATTAAAAAATATATACTTTAAAAAATGTAATGTATCCAACTGAAAGTCACACGTTAATATGTTCATATATTCTCTGGATGTCAAGAATAAGCTATTTATAAATATTTTCAAGGTATCTTTCTGGGTTTTACTAAATTTTGGACCTTGTTAATGCTAAGGGTCCCTAGGCTTCAAGTGCATGCATGACACTGCACGGCATGCGTACATCTGTATATAGTACATACAGAATAGGATATACTCATGCAAAAAAAGCTTTAAAAACGACATGTGACATAGCTCTATTGCGAGTGAGACTCCCGTACTTGTTTCAGCAATCTGTATCATTGATAACCCTCAAGCCATGAAATCGCATGAAAGTGTGTCATGTCCTGGAAGCAAGGAAAATCCCTACAATGTTTTAATTCTAAAACTCCACTCGAGCCACAACGTATATTTTTGCAATGGGTACAACAATGCTCGACTTGACACGTGTTTCCATCACTTACAATGATTGCACATTTAATAAAAATCACCAGTTTCAGAAAATGTGCATATGGAACAGCATTTTAAATGTCGTGTATGATGGGTTTATACATACCATGCATGTCAACAACTGGCTTCAAATCCTTATAAACTGCAATTACGTTCATGACATCTTTGGTTGTCATGTCCTTGTACTTGTACTGCAACACACAAAACACTACAATTAATAGTCATCTGTACCAGAAGAATAGTAATGATTTACAGCGCTTTGTCAATCCACTGTTTGACGAAGATGTCTGCACAAAATATGACGATCATAGTTGTTTGACCATACTTCACCATGCTGGTTAGTGTGGGTTGAAGGGGAGCAGGCAGGAGTGCAGGACCAATTCGGATGTTATCCAGGACCTATCCTCCATTTGCCAGGCTCATCGCAAAGTGTTCTGATCACTTTGCCACATTGTTCCAACCCATATAGAAAGTAAATAAAGATTATAATTATTCTGATATAGTAATAGATGTTATTACTATACAGTATGCTAATTCAACAGTATTCTATTCTTGCGTATGGCAATATAATTTTGGAGCTAAATACCACTGTCATGCTCTGCTAGTTTCAAGAGACAGTTTGTGTAGGTACGCTATTCCTCCATTGAAGGAGCGCAGACTACAATGGCTTACGATATGGTCCACAGTTTTGATTGCATTGCCAAAGTTGCACTGTGGCTTGTCTTTAGTTTTCCATTTATGAAGATGTGCGCATCAACCTGTTGATGTTCTGATGCGGTTGATCGTGACAGCACTACACCGGTGTCTTCGAGGAATGTCAAAGCCAGGACGTGCAATGTTTGGGTATCGAATGTGGTGTTTATTCTGAACGTCTGTATTGTTCCACTCTGTTCATCAGCGTTCTTCCAGATCTGAATGAGATTATAGGGTGGCCACAGCACGATTCCAGAAGGGGGATTGGGACTTGAGTTCGTGGCGAGGTACAATGTTAAAGTCTTGGTTGATGGGTAGGTTGTTGTTGTCAAGACAACATGTACACCCAACACTTTAAGCTCAAAGATACTTGAGCCCTTGTATTGATTTAAAAATAAATTTAAAGGTTTTTTTTTATTAAATTGCTCCGTTAATGCTGTCTGCAGCAGCCAGAATGTGTGTGTAAGCATATACAGGCAAGCATGTCAATTTATGCATGCTATAGAACCAGAAAATGTGCACTCAGCAATAAGGAGGGCTCTGCTGCAACGCATTACATGAATCACATTCAGAAACATGCATTCTTAATGCTCATGATTTAAACAAAACCTGTGCATGTTAAGTTTATTTTAGTATAAAATGACTCAACAGTCACTTCAACTAAGCGGCCAATGATTATGTAGTTTTGCTGGCAAGTTGTCCCTTAAATTCTAGATTTGAAGCTTTCGTGACTGCAAGGATCCATACTCTTTGGTTCTATTTGGTAAAGTCACGCAGGTAAAAATAAAATACCAAAAAATCACGACGTTTCGGCCACAACACAAGTGGCCTTCATCAGGTGAAGGGACTGGACTGTCCAGAGGACAGCGTTGGAGTGAAGACAGCAAACCCAGGTCGCGTCCTTTAAGCTGTGTGGGAGGAAACAAAAAACGCCTTGACAAAGGAATTAGCATAACAATGATGTACTGGACCGGCACGGTGGGGGAGGGGGGAGTTTACATAATGTTGGTGTGAAGGGAAATAAGCTGCTGTGAAAGTTTGGAATACCACTACTTGAATAAATATACTGTACCACTGAAAATTAGTTTAATGTTTGGTTTGATTTAGAACATCTTTCCAATGATTGCTTAATTTGAAACCATCTTCTCGGTTGAAATTGTGTCTTTGTTTGTAAATCTGAATTGACTCGTGGACAAATCTCTGATAAAAACCCGTGGGTTTGCAGAGAACCTTGGTATTGGAGAAAATTATATCGTGATCACCCCCAGCGTTGTAACAGTGATCAGCTACGGCAGAAGAATTCGTTCTGCCGTGTTTCAAATCTGATTTGTGCTCGCGAATTCGGTCGTTCCTGACTTACAGTACCCCGGGGTTTACAAACTGAGCTGCACCTGTGGTGACTGCTATATCGGGGAGACGATATAAACACGGCAAAACGAATTATTCTGCCGTAGCTGATCACCGTTACAACGCTGTGGGTGATCACGATATAGTTTTCTCTGATACCAAGGTTCTCTGCAAACCCACGGGTTTTTATCAGAGATTTGTCCACGAGGCAATTCAGATTTACAAACACAGACACAATTTCAACTGAGAAGATGGTTTCAAATTAAGCAATCATTGGAAAGATGCTCTAAATCAAACCAAACATTAAACTAATTTTCAATGGTACAGTATATTTATTCAAGTAGTGGTATTCCAAACTTTCACAGCAGCTTATTTCCCTTCACACCAACATTATGTAAACTCCCCCCTCCCCCACCGTGCCGGTCCAGTACATCATTGTTATGCTAATTCCTTTGTCAAGGCGTTTTTTGTTTCCTCCCACACAGCTTAAAGGACGCGACCTGGGCTTGCTGTCTTCACTCCAACGCTGTCCTCTGGACAGTCCAGTCCCTTCACCTGATGAAGGCCACTTGTGTTGTGGCCGAAACGTCGTGATTTTTTGGTATTTTATTTTTACCTACGTGACTTTACCGAATAGAACCAAAGAGTATGTCCCTTAAATGTTGACGGTGAAGAGGTGTGTATGACATTCCTTTAAGTTCGTGTTATCCAAATAATAGGAGCACAGAGGTAATAACGCGCCACTCAAGCCTGCTAACTTTTAGATACACCGCAGCACACATTGAACATTACAAACTATGACCTCGTTCCTACTTGACATATTTTTTTTAAATGACCACCACCCTCAAAGCAGGCTCAGTTATGCTGCAGCAATTGTTATTATGTTATTCTAAAGCCATGTAATTAATTGTTTAAATATACTGGATGATTACCCGAGTTGCTACGATGTCATTTTTCACGAAACGATATTACATTTCACAAGAAGACGTTAATTCCACGATCGGTTTCCATTAACTTTGCAATTATATTTCACAATACTTGCGTCATGATTTTGTGCTTTGATGAGTCAAATACGAATACAGATTTCTTAAAAGTTTTCCAGCTGCAGTTCGCTCAACATAAGCAGTCTAATTGTTACAATAATACAATCTACAAGGCTGAAAGCGCACACGCTTTTAAGAAAATGATGTTATATAACCACTTGCCATAATTTTATTTGGAAAACGTTTTTTAAAGCACCAATTTAACGACTAAGAGCTATTGTTTTAGAATGTTATTATTTTCAACGTTAATAATTATTATTTCGTACTGTTAGAGAAAACACAATCTTGATTTAAAGCTTTCGTGACTGCAGTAATTCATATTCTTAGTTTTTTTCCGGTAAAGTCACGTTGAAGGGAAACAACAAAATAATAAAATATATATAACAATAAAAAAAATTCTCACGACGTTTCGACCATAACTCAAACGGTCATCTTCAGGTGTGTTGGTTTGCATAAAAGATGGCCGTTTGAGTTATGGTCGAAACGTCGTGAGAATTTTTTTATTGTTTTATATATATTTTATTATTTTGTTGTTTCCCTTCAACGTGACTTTACCGAAAAAACTAAGAATATAAAAACACAATCTATTTCATAAAATGTTAAAAGCAAAGATAACCCTGATGTTACAATATTACACAAAATGGACTAAATAATTATCAACGATCTTAGATCGTACAAAAAAAATATCGTATGAATGCAATGTCACGGCAACCCTCAAGAATACTACGCAGCAAATACTGCCTTCTGCGCTCAAAACGAACTTCAGGAAATAGTGTAGAAGGACACACATATGGTTAGGTTAAGCTAAATGTTTCATCATGGACTTACTGTGAATCAGTCACATAGCAACAACTACTGTAGATCAATTTGTGCCGCAAAAAATATGCGTCCCTAACAACACTGGTATTAAAATATTGCTGCTTCTGTGAACTTACACAATAGCAGGTAAACAATTCAATATTTTGGCAGAGTGGCTTCAGTTTATCTGGAATGGGTTTATAATGAGTGTCCACAATGATGACAGGGTTATGTTTATAGTCCTATGACCAATTCAGCTGGAATGTGCCAAATCTGGTCAAATCTCAGAAGCTAAGTAGGGGTGAGCCAGTCCTTGGATTGGGCGACCATGTTGCGAAACATTTTTAATAGGCTACACAACCATATGGCGGGCAGTTTTGGGCACTGCAGAAAAATCCATAGTACTGTACTGTACACCTATGTTCTCTCCACCTTCACCAACCTGCACTGACCAATGCGGTGAAATGTGGTCAAAGTACCCCCATAACCCGTACACGCCATGGTGAGGCCCTGATCCAACAGAGGATTGACAAAAGGGATGAGATGGTGGGAGTAAAATGAGTTACGTAAAATCCAATTTTAAAATGCTCTAATCCTAGAGAACACCACGATAAAAGATTGAAGAAATAAGAAGCAATGGGAGCTTGAAAACCACAAAAGTGATATTGATTGACAATTCACAAATGGTAGCCCTTAGGGAGAATGAGTAAGACCATATATATTTGTATATATGCATGTACGTATGTTGAACTTCTTCTGCATCGTACATAGCCAACCATAGCCAAAAACAGCACATATTTTGCTGTTTTTTTTCATGGATTTTCTGTTTGCACAGTCACATAGTCACTTTAAGATGTTTTTCTTGTTCGTGTTTTTGGTTTTTTGTTTGTTGTGGTTGCACCCAATTCAAGAGCCGAATGGCTCACAGGGCTATACCAAAATAAATAAACTGAAAAACTGAAAATGCTAATCGTAGGTGCGGGGGAAGGACAAACTAAACACAAGTGTTGAAATGGTAAGCATATCGCGATATACAAAATATCATATTAAGAGAAGGACGTCACGATGACACACTTCGGAAATACCACACTTCAAAGAACTAATGAATGGGCCACATGGCATAACGAAGGACATCATCCAAAAAACTGGACCACCTAAATAAATGATGCCTGAATCTTCTATTTCAAGGGCACAAACCTGAAGGAGTTACAGACCACTTAGCCACTTACCATACATACAATTTTCACTAAGATTCCTGGAATATTTAAGAGGCCAACCAACCAAGAGCATGAGCAAGCAAATGTTGTCATATCACACACCATTTGTTCACACACCATTTCCTTATTACGGACCATTCGTTATATCTATCATTTGCAGCCTATAAAATAGCACTGACTCGGCAGAAACTGATGCAGTAATTGAGTTCACAGAAATTTATACCTAGAAAAAATAAAAATGTCAAGAATGAAACTGAGAGCTGAACTGAGATTGCATGACATAACAAAGGTAGCCATCAGAAGTCGTGTGAGACACTTTCGTGAAAGTTATTGATGGCAGCACTTGGTGCTTTTCTGAAAACGGGACCGTGGAAATAAAGGCACGAACATAAATGGAGAAAATTGTAAGAATTTGAGATCAGCATAACACAACGTGAAAATTTGATTGGAAATTATTGAATAATTTGATCAAGAATGCTGCATATTTGAGCTCAATAATTATATGCAATAAGTATGCTAAACAAAATGTATCTATTAGAGGGATTCAAGTGGAAACACATCACAGCATGGGTACCAGTTAAAATTGACTGGGATTAAGCGATGCAATAAAGGCAAGTGAGAACAGGTTTCAGAGCTTTTCGAAAACTGAACTTAATCATGAACATCAGAAAATAATTAAAATCAACAAATACATGCGCTCAAAGGACGTGTCTATTAGCTTCTAGGACCTAAATCACATCATTGTATTTTCGGTAAGGCCCATCGAGCTCAGAAGCTCTTATTCAATGGCAACCCAAAGCAGCAAGCAAGGGAAGGGACGGTTTCGCTGATATGACAATAGCAGATACGCTACATGGGAATGGAGGGTTTGGTTTACAGGGGTTCCGTAGAAAAAAAGGAGGGGTAATGTTATAAGCATGAGTATCAAATTAGATTAATAAATAATGCGTCTGCTGAGCCCAGCCCGAAAATGGGAAGTTGAAACCCAACACGGGTGGCATGGTGTTGTAGTCACGAGCTGTAACACGAGAAGTGAATCCGAGGGATCATCTAAAATGACGCTTTACAGCGATCTCAATCGAGTGTCTCTGTACACCGCATTGGTCTAGGAGATTCAACCACACTTCACCATGCTAGTCAGCGAAGGTTAGTGAAGGGGTACCCTGGACTGGCTCAGAGATCATTCGCCACTGATGCTAGCCGTAGTTGGGAATCAAACTCGGGTTTCCAGACTCATAGTGCAGTGTGCTAACTACTTGTTTCAAGCTGTTTATCCTTAAAGAACTAGCACTGTGGGTCCAAATGGCTAACATAATGCCAGGTTTTTTTTACTTAAGCACCAATCTCAACATTAAGAAGCTGCTCATATTAAGGTATATTTTTAGAACTTCGTTTCAATTCCTCATTTCGTGCAAAACAGAAATCCGAGGGCGTGGTTCAAGTTTTGAAAGTCTTTTTTGTTATGCCTAGCGGATTCCCGTCTCGGTGGAGGCAAGCTAGACAAAACTAAGAGGTTCACACAAGCTTTTTGGCAACTTATAAATGTCATTCCTTATAATGCAGGTTTTTTGGGTAGATCGCGTAAATGTGTCATTAAACCCGCCACCACCCGACACAGTAAAGTTTGTCACGTAAGCAGAACATGCCAATTAATTACTAGTTACAGCACACCGGTGTGTTGGAGAGAAAATCAACATTTACACCCTGATTTACTCTCCAACACACCGGTGTGCTGTACTAGTAACGAATCGGCATGTTCTGCTTACGTGACAAACCTTACTAATTGTCTGTGTCGAATGGTGGCGGGTTTAATGGCACATTTATATGTACACGATCTAACCCAAAAAACCTGTATTATATAATTATGGATGATATTGGTTGCGAAAGCCTATGCGTTAAAATGTCCTTCCTATGTCGAAAACAGATTCAGCTGACAGGGGCACGTGGGTCCTTGGTGTAGTTACTCATTGTCCACTTCTCGCCACAATGTGACTAAAAACCGCGGGTTACTTAAAAAGGGTAATACAGTAATTAATTTGTTCACTCATGCTACTTATAGAGTGCACGAGTGGAGACATCACACGTACAATGCACGATGCAATGTTGCACACTAAATAACTACACAGCGAATCGCGGCTCAAGATACAGGCGATCGATGGACATTAGTCTGTTCTACTATAGCGCGGTGGTTGCCTTCCTGAAGAACACCGCGTTATGGAAAAATCGCGTTATAATAAATAATAGAATAAAACACAGTCTGCGATAACACGTGAGATGCGTACGCAAGGCTGAACAAAGACCGAGGCACGTGGGTAGCATCTCGAAGCATCCAGCAGCATCCCAACGCCTTGTGCGATGCTACGGCGAGGCAGCCGTACAACCGCTTATTCCTACTCGCGCAACATCGTTCTGTTCACTCAATCGCGTTATATCAAAATTCGCATCCGCGTTCCCTAATACATTCATCGCGTTATATGCAATTCGCGTAATGAAGACACGCGTTATAGGAGAACAGACTGTACTCCACTATTAACACTGCACTTGAATGCTGCCGAGTTTGTTCAGCTTGGGTTGCTTGGTGCTGTCATCGGTGTCAGCTGGCGAGCGGGTCATGAGTTGGGGAAAGGGGTTGTGGAAGTGCATGAACCGGGGTGAGAGGTGCCAATGTGGTATAACGCGCCACTGGGCATCTGTGAAAAAATCAATTTATAGCTCATCGGATGCTTCCAATATAAATAAATGTTCTGATTCTGAGCTATGTACAGTACGAAAGAAGTTCAACATACAGTACATATACGATAGACGCGTCTGCTCGAGCCCTGATACCAGCAATGACGCCTGGTTAGCGGACCTTGGTCAAAAACCATCTAAAGGCCAAATAACAATCTCAAGGCGAGTGTCGCTACATCCAGAAAATAATCCCCCTGACTCCTCCACGTACGGGGAGGAGGAGCAGGTGGGTGACACGGGTGGGGGGTGACCCAGGTGGGGAGTGGCCCGTGGGGGGGGGTGACACGGGTGGGGGGTGACCCAGGTGGGGAGTGACCCCTGTGGGGGGGGGGGGTGACACGGGTGGGGGATTGACACGGGTGGGGGGAGTTGACACGGGTGGGTGGGGGGAGTTGACACGGGTGGGTGGGGGTGGGAATTGACACGGGTGGGTGGGTGGGGGGAGTTGACACGGGTGGGTGGGGGGGGGGAATTGACACGGGTGGGTGGGGGGGGGAGTTGACACGGGTGGGTGGGGGGGGAATTGACACGGGTGGGTGGGGGGGGGGAATTGAAACGGGTGGGTGGGGGGGGGAATTGACACGGGTGGGTGGGGGGGGGAGTTGACACGGGTGGGTGGGTGGGGGGGGAGTTGACACGGGTGGGTGGGTGGGGGGGAGTTGACACGGGTGGGTGGGTAGGGGGGGGAGTTGACACGGGTGGGTGGGTGGGGGGGGAGTTGACACGGGTGGGTGGGGAGTTGACACGGGTGGGTGGGTGGGGAGTTGACACGGGTGGGTGGGTGGGGGGGGAGTTGACACGGGTGGGTGGGTGGAGGGAGTTGACACGGGGTGGGTGGGTGGAGGGAGTTGACACGGCTGGGTGGGTGGGTGGAGGGAGTTGACACGGCTGGGTGGGTGGGTGGAGGGAGTTGACACGGGTGGATGGGTGAGGAATTGACACGGGTGGGGGAGACACGGGTGGGTGGGTGGGGAGACACGGGTGGGTGGGTGGGGAGACACGGGTGGGTGGGTGGGGAGAAACGGGTGGGTGGGGGGGGTGACACGGGTGGGTGGGGGGGGAATTGACACGGGTGGGTGGGGAGAGTTGACACGGGTGGGTGGGGAGAGTTGACACGGGTGGGTGGGAGTTGACACGGGTGGGTGGGGGGGGAATTGACACGGGTGGGTGGGGGGGGAATTGACACGGGTGGGTGGGGGGGGAATTGACACGGGTGGGTGGGGGGGGAATTGACACGGGTGGGTGGGGGGGGAATTGACACGGGTGGGTGGGGGGGGAATTGACACGGGTGGGTGGGGGGGGTGACACAGGTGGGTGGGGGGGAATTGACACGGGTAGGTGGGGGGGTGGTTGACACGGGTGGGTGGGGGGTGGTTGACACGGGTGGGGGGGGGTTGACACGGGTGTGGGTGGGGGGGTGACCCTAGTCGTATCGCGACTCGCAGGTGCCTGATGCTTCCCGCTCCGTGCTAAGCGACACCAGCAGCAGTGACAGTGGGCCATGCTCACACAAAGATCCCCCGTGTAGCCTTTACCAGACTGTTAGAGGTGCCGTTAGCGAGCAGCACCTATCAAGGCCGGCAGTGCACACGAGGGGGTGGGTGGCCAGCACCACGCCCGACCGCCTTTGTCTCCCTAGCGGCGATGTTTACTACACACCGCACCAGGTACTCGTTTGAGGCTGAGTCGACCTAGGGGAGGCCTGGAACCGGGTCAGATATTCATCACCCGGTGTTGGCCGTGAGCAGGAATCGAACTCGGACAGCGCAGCGCGCTAACCACCACACCACCGCCCCCCACCCTGTTTACACACACACACGAGGGACACGGCGCTTCACGCGCAATCTGAGGCTGGGTGAGCTCTCAGAAGGCCGCACAACAACAACCACGACCACGACGACGACCACGACGACGAGTCCAGCGACCCCGGGGTTTCACGGCCCGGTTCTCATTCCCTGCCGCCCGCTCAGGGCCCGGGGGTCCCCCCCCCCCTCGCACCTTGCCCAGCAGCTTCTTGACGCTCGCCTCGGTGGGAAGCGCCATGGCTCCGCTGCGCTGAGCGGGAAGCAGCACGGGAGATGGACGACCTCTCTCTCTCCTCTCTCCCCTCTCTCTCTCCTCTCTCGCTGGCTCGAGACGACGACGACGCGGGACGGTCCCGCCTCAGCTGCCTCAGCCGCCTCGCTCGCGTCTCCGAGCGGCGCCTAGTGGTGACGTCACGCCCGTGACCCCCACTCCCCCCCGGTACGGTGACGTCACGCGCGACCCCTCCCAGCCCCCGCGTAGTGACGTCACGCGCCTGACCCCCACTCCCCCCCCGGTACGGTGACATCACGCGCGTGACCCCCTCGTCTTCGCCGGGGTTGGTCACGTGGTGCCGCGCGTGTTTACGCAAGGAGTTGATCGGGCGACGTCATCAGGCCCGGAATGAATGACTTTCATAATACTGTATACTGCACAGTACGTTATACATGTTACATTTGTATTATTTAGGGGTTTGTTGCTCAGTGTATACTAACTATTCATATGCCAATAAAAAACACTTCATTGGAACACTTTTTTTATTTCCGTACCGGTCCCATAGTGTAACGTGTAGCGGCTACTTCTAATCCCCTTCTGACTCGCCATCAATGTGCTGAGCGTCATTTTCGATAGATTACCATTTTTCGCAATGTGACGATTATGTCAAATTCCCATAACGTGTTTTGTGTTTTTTTGTGTTTGCTTCGCTGTAACTTCCACTGGAAATAAAGTTAACGTTCATTAAACTGAAGTTCAACTCATCAAATGCCTCCCCATGAAGCCTTAATAATTACAATCTGTGATGCATAATAGTAGAGTTTATTCGACAGCATAGGATTCGCTTACTTTCATTGAACACTGAGAAGCCCGGGATGGAACCACGGACGAGCGGAGAGGCAGCGGCCACGTAGTGAGCTGGCGCGCCCTACAAATCCCCACGCTCTGTGGTCCTCTACATATGAAGTTGTTTGAGCCAATTAATGAGTGTGCATACGTCCTGGGAAGAAACCCCCGCCAGTGCAAGACAGAACAGATGGAGTCCACATTTACTGTACCGCCGTCTGGTGAGCCAGGGTTTCTGGCACCTCGACGCCCATGGAAAGGGAGTTTCACAAGATGTTGTGTGATCCACCAAACCTCGTCTGCATGGTGGTGGGTGCGACCACAACCCAGAAGAAGAAAAAAAACGCCAATATAAAAGTGTGAAAAAACTGAGCCATTATGGTAATAGAACGATATCATGGTGTCGCCATACCGTGGCAACCTAAGTTAGAGGCAGTAGTGGCAACCTGAGTTGCTCGGAAGTTCATAATGCGTTGAGAGTATTTGGCTGTTATCAATGTCCACGTGACAAGCCACTTCATTGAGCTATCACTTGTGACCAGGTCGCTTTTGAGAAAGATCTATATTAGCTCAGTGGGCCTTACCTGGTGAAATAAAATAAAAATGTGCTGAGTTTATAATGACCGTGCCAGACGCTGAGCCGACACCGCTCGAGAGTCCGGGTTCGAGTCCATGTTTCAGTGGCTGGGCTGAAGTGGATGAGTTGATGGTCGTGGCCTGGTCGATTGGACAAAAGGCTAGAAGAGATGTTTCATTCAGTGCGCATATTAATGTACTTGATATGACATGGATCGATAACAGACACTTCAGCAAAGAACATGGAACCATAGCTGAAACAAATGCAGATAGAATCACGGAGACGTCGATTTTTGGAGCTACATCGAGATAGAGAAAGATCAACACTGGGATCAGAGAACTGAACACAAATGAGAGACTCCGGCAGGGCACGTGAGAACGGGGGTCGGCAAACCCGCTGCTCCGGAGCCACATTGCGGCTTTCTTAGGCTTTGCCTCGTGATGTTATTTATTAAGGACCTACCATCTCGTATTCGTCACACAGTCAACCGCGGCTGTTGACATTGAGATTTTTTTTTTTAGTTTTACCCAATTCGACAAAAATGTCTCTTGTTATTTTGGTTGCCAACCCCCTTTGCGCTTGAAGAAATGATGGCACATGAGCCTGCTAATGAAGCGGCAGCTGAAGGAGGGGACACACCCAAGGGTACAACCACGGTGGAGATGACAGATCATTGACATCAGCTCATGCGCAGGTGCGAGATGGATGGTTGTATCTTGACATTGAGGGATGGTGGTGTCTTGAAACCTTCATCCTGCAGTGGATAATTATGCCTGGTGATGCCAGTTGAGAATGTGTTTCCCAAAAATGTAGTTTGATCACAGTAATTTTATTGCAAACATCACAACGTACAGTACTGCAAACAAGTGTTAATTTTATTTTCCTACATGACGTCACAATGTTTCCATCTGTAGTGGTATTGATGGTGAATGTTACCTGGCAATAAAGCCACTGTTTACTACGACGTCACAGCTGTCACAATTTTGCCATGCGAGCTTTGATACAGAAGCACATAGATAAGCGGACAATTTCCCAGAATACACATTTCGTATGACCTCTCCGCTACTCATGTTGCCAGTAATAGATTACTGTCGCTTCGTAAAAATAATCAATATTTTGCTTATATTCATAAAATTCAATTCTCTTTTCCCAAAACGCAACCCAAACGAATTCCAGTTGTAGGTGGAGCCTTTCTTTTCGTCGGCGTCACTGGCAGGCAGGCTGCGCATCCGGGCTCTCAGCATGGGATAGAAATGAAGAGGCGACATGAAGGCTCTGTCAACGGAACCCCCAGAGCCAGGGAAGTCATAGAAGGCTACTATGCCGTCTGTTCCCTCCAGCAGGGATGTAATCTCTCTCAAAATGTCAGTCACATCGCCAGGCAGCTGTCCTCCTGAGGAAGAGAACGGGGTTAGCTGAAACTCTCATCACTGAACACAACATTTTAAATGTGCGATAAAGTACCGGTGATACGTTGCAGGAATAAATTGACCTCCACCCCATATCACCAGATAAAGAAGAATTACACGTTGTCATGTATCAGCCAATGGACTTGCCAGATCAATATTATCCAGTTGAGTGATTTGGTTTCAATCCTTTTGGCATCATCGACAGTAAGCCACGTTAAACAAATACTACTGAGACACCAGATGTTATTGGCAAGAGCACTCCCTCGAAACAATCTGCTTCTGGTTAATACAATCAGCAATACTGTACAAGGTGTCCGAAAATGAATATACCAAAATAACGTTGAATAGTTTTTTTTAGTTATTGGAGATGCTGACAAAGATTTAATATTTTAAAAAAAACATGATAGACGTATTTGTTTTAGTTTGTTTTCATTTGTTATGGTATTGATTTGATATTCTCGAATTATTAATAAGCTTATTCACTATAATCAATCTCTTTCGGTGTTTAAACTCTGAGAAAAAAAAAAACCTTCACAGCTGTAGGGATGGATGGTGACACAGCAGCATCAAAAATATGATGTTTAAGTTATTCAAGGTTCAAGTTGTAGACTATACTTTTTTTTTTAATCCCAGAGATAAAAATCTAACGGTGTTAAGTCGGGTGAATGAGTGGACTTGCCATTATATCAGAAAATGGGGTTTCTCCTGAAACAGAAAGTACCAATCAATATTCACAACAAACTAAAACGTATATATAATTCATACCAAATGTATGTCAGTATCTCGAATGACAAGAAAACTATTCAACTTATGAAGCATTTTAGGTGATGAAATGAATAAACTCATAAATAAATAACCCCAAAAATATGGCAGCATTGTTTCATAAAAAAAAAACATTTATCCAGTATTTTTTATAAGAATATGAACTTTTGCATACAACAGTGAATAGTGCAATGCCATTATTTTGACATATTCATGGCTTCATCATCATTATCATCATCCATGGTTTATCTGCTGCTGGATGAAGGCCATATCTGTTTAACACGACCGACCTTAATGCGTTAAATGCATATGAATTGTCTTTGTTACAACAGTGTAATATATCAAATATATATCGAGTCCTGTAAACATGATGCATGAACAAAGTTACACTTTGCACCATTTGCCATTGTGATGTCTGTAGCATGTGGCAACACAACACACATTTTGTTACTGGGGCAAAAGTTACTAGATTAGTGCATAAGTCAATAAAATGAAACGTCAAGTTTTTTTTTTTAATATTTGCTAGTTTAACCCCGGTTAATATGACCTACACCAAATTCAAAGCGTGGACTAAAATGTATGCTTTTGCAGCTTGCATGACCACGGCCACTGTGAGTTTATCATCATTCACCTCCGCTTTTGGTGGATTCTTTGAAGCCATAAAACGAGACGACTTTCCCAAAAGAATCACAGCACAAGACGAGGAACAGGAATGTCACGACCGTCAGTCCCCGCATGGCAGCGCAGCAGAGACTGGAAAAACAGGGGCTTTCAATAAATAACCACCTTAATTCTCAAAATTTGAACTTTGGAAACTTTGAAGAATCCATTTTAAAGTATTTAATTGAAAGCAAAATACTTTACGATACTTCTGAACATGATTGTTTTCTAAAGCTTCATCATCAGCCATAGTCTTCATGTAATCCTAGTGTGGCTGTTCCATTTTTCTAAAAGGTTTTTATTACACTTGCATTTCTTGCTCTTCGAATGACTACATCAATTTCTACCAAGTCGAATGCTTTCCATATTCTGGAAATGCGAGACACGATGGGAATAGAAACTCACTGGTCTTTTCCAGATTCTGATTAATAGCATGGATGTGGTCGATGGTTGGTAAAACCCTGCTTGCTCACGTGGTTTCTTGGCCTCTATTGGTTTTGTCATTCTGTTCCCAGTGATCTCCGTAACCAATTTAAGCAACCCTGAAGATTTGAACATCGAATTGCCCTCCATTGGAGATAAAGCTCCGTGATGACACACTCACTTTACACATTCCAGCGTGTCAATGTAATTTTACACCTAGTTTTTAAACCGCACGTGCTGCACGGAGGGTGGTTGCGGGGGGGGAGGTGTAACGTCAGCACGCACGAACCCGGTTCAACGCTGTGGAATGTGGGTGACTTCACCACCACAGAACCCCGTATCGCCTAAACAGACTGTTGGGACAAGTGCTGTTTGCGAGCACTTACGAAGGCCGGAACGGCACATGAAGGGGTGGGTGTCTAGCACCACGCACGGCCACCTTTGTCTCTCTAGTGACGATGTTTACACATCGCACCAGGTGCTCATTTGAGGCTGAGTTGACCTAGGGGAGCCCAAGGACCGGTTCAGATAATCATCACTGGTGGAATCGAACTCAGGTCGCCGGGTTCGTAGCGCAGAGCGCTAACCGCTACACCACCGCTCCCCACTGACTTCACCACCACACACTTGCCAGCAGTTTGAGAAGTAATGTAGTATGACAAGTATAACATGCATCAATCTACAATAACAACCTTACATACTAATTTGTGGAATGAAAACATTTCACTAAAACAAACTGATAATCCAATTGCTAAGCGAAACCTCTAAATCAATGCAATAAAATATCATTGAGCATGAAAAAAGACAAACGACATCAACAAAAACTTACTATTTTTGGCGTGTTGAGCAGTCTTCAAGGAAAAGGCTCGTTTTGGTATTGAGCGATTTTCAGAAGGAGGTTTGCTATTGACATGCGTGTGTCTGCCTCTGTAGATAACAATGCCAAGATGCGTTACGTTCCTGAACAACTTACTGCAAATATGTGAACACAGTAGGGTTCTGTAAGGCACAGCGACTGACTGAAAACACGTATGCTGTACCCCATTTGCTGCCTGCAGTGACTTTTATGTACCACGGGCTATGGTCACATTGCCATGGAAGCACTTCACGTGTTGTCTGATTGACTTCATTCACTAATAGCCTTTGCCTGTGAAGCATTCGCCCTTTCACTTAAAGTCTTAACGAGCATTGCTTTGGGGTCTACCTTCATCCGTTCACAATTACATTCACCACCATCTTCTTTAGCTCAACATTATTGATTAAAGTCCGACTTCACCATAAAACCATTGACATATTTAATTGAAACTAATATACTTGAATTGCATTTGCCATTTTTCGATTGAAAGCTTTCGTGACTGCAAGGATTCATCTTCTTGGTTCTTTCGGTAAAGTCACGTAGAATGAAAATAAAATAATAAAAATAAAACAATAAAATAAAACAGAAGAATTTAGCATTGAAGTAGCTGTGTTAATGTGTTGGATATTTTGTTTTATTGTTTTATTCTCATTCTACGTGACTTTACACTCCAGCGCTGTCCTACCAGACAGTCTCGTTCCTTCACCTAATGAAGGCCGCTTGTGTTGTGGCCGAAACGTCGTGAGAATATTATTGTGTTATTTTATTTTATCAATTTATTATTTTATTCTCATTCTACGTGACTTTACCGAAAGAACCAAAGAAGATTTACCGAAAGAAACAATAAGATGCATTTACCATATTTTGGAATGTATTCTTGCTTCACTGCCAGCAACAAAAATTATGTTAAATATGTTTTAAATAACAAATAATGCAGACGAACTTAAACGTGAAGCAGATCAAGTATGTCAGAAAGTTCGTTGAGGAAGCTGATGATGCTGCCCTCACGAGGGCGGTAGATTCTGAAGAGGGATAAGGCTGGTAGTTTTATTCATCAGAGACACTCACTGGACGTCGAGGTTTGAAGCAGGGGTGGTAAAAAAAAAACCTTTGTTTTCAGATCCGAATTTGAGGTTTAAAGTTCAAACCCAATAAACCTCATGGTTTTATTCGCACTACTCCCAGATCAGTACTAGTGTAGAGCCGTGCTTCGTGTTGCCCTGTGGGATTGTAGACTCAGACGGAGACCACGGTTGAATATTCAGGGCTCCTTGCTGTTTATTCCATCGCGGGTACTCACTACTCCCTGTCCCTTAGCCCTCTCTTACGACTCCCTCGACCTTCGTCCAGGCTACCCCGTACTCTTCCACACGTAGCCTCCTTCGTCTCTCCGGCCCAGGAGCCTTTCTACCTGCTACCTGGCTCCTCTCTCTCTCCCAGGCTCTCCTTTGTCTCTGACCCCTCCCCTTCCGTCCAGGTTCCCCTTTTATCCCCTTAACCCGAGCTCCTCCCTTTTACCTGGTTCTCCTTCTGCCTGGCTCCCCCACTAGCGGACGTCTCACTCGGTCTACTTACCCTCCTCTCTCGCCCTTCTGGCACTCCCCTTTTTGCTTGGCCCCCTTCCCACGGTTGCCCCTCCTTGGGTCTCCGAAGTACTCCTCTACATCAGTCCTCCGACGAGTCCACGTCGTCGCCCTCGGACATGTAACTGATATTCGGCGAACGCCGCATAGTTGCTCTTGAGGTAGACCAACTTCTCCACCGAACTGGGCGCCAAGCTGTTCCTGAGCTCGCTGTGTATGAAGCCCATAGTTGAGAAGTTATGCTCCGAGGCTGCAGAGGATGTCGCCATCGTGAACAGCTTGACACCGATCTTCTGAAAATCGGGCCAGGCCACGCCGTCAGACTGCCAATACTGCAAAGGTGTCTTACGTCCCTAGAGCAGCATAATGAATCTAAACTCGCCGGCATCCTTCTCCTGCTGCGCCGAAATGACGTACTCGGTGAGCTGCATAAAGAGCGCCTCTCGTCATCAACCGCTGTCTCATCGTCAATCGGTGTCTCCAGTAAGATGTTCTCCAGCTCTTTTCGATTAGCCGGGCTCGAGCCCTCTCCAATTCATCGAGGATCTAACAGATACGCCGGTCTATGGGCCTTTCCGCACATGAACTGAAAGCGACTTGCTGCCAACTTGATCAGGTAGGTGATCTCTTCAGTGCTCGCATGACCGTCTTCGTGCAGCTTGGCAAACTCAGCAGGGAGGGTGTGAAAATCCGGCAAGACTTCAGAGACTGGTACCGAATCAGATTGATATTTGATAATCAATGCGTCAATGGGCGTGAGAATGGCAAGGGACTTCTGCAACAGAGAGACAAAGTCATCGCTCATAATGATGGTCTTGATAATGGAATGCAGAATCCTCTCCGACGACAACAGCGTCTCGCAACAGCCTTTGATCATTCCCCAATGTGTAGGAGCCGTACGGACCAACGCTCGAACGCCAGCGATCTTCTGTTCAGCCTGCAGCTTGGCCTTGAGAACGTGACTCTTGTGAAACAATTTGACCGTGTCCTTGCACCCCATGATGAACTCAAGCAGGTACTCGAACAGATAATCGATCAGGTATCTGTGTTCTGATTGACCGGCTTTCCTCGTCTTCGTGGTCGAGAATATGTCCTTGATAAGCAAATGCAGACCATGTGACGTACAGCCTTTGAAATAGGATGGGTGGGTCTTCAAGAGCTGTTCCCACGCATTATTGTTGGTGGATGTGTTGTCGGTGACCGCGCCAGTGAATGTAGTCTTCGGAAGGGACGCCATCACACGTTGAAGATCCGAGGCGATTCAGTCAGCGTTGTGGCCCTGCTCTCCAGTGAACACCGACTCGAGAAACAACGTTGTGGACGGCGATGTGACCATGTAGTTCACAATTGGATCATTCTTGATGTTTGGCCACGCATCAGATGTCAGGCAAACTGTCTTATTGTCCAGGATGGTGTCACCCTTCTTCTTCATGTCGATGCACGCCCTGTCGAGCAATGGTCCGGCCAGCCTCTTCCTGTTTGGCAGCACTACATCTGGGCGAAGGGCCTTCACAGTGAACACCAGGTTATTCTCCTCGACCCGCTGGAACGACGTGCCCGAGACAAAGTAATGCATTGCTATTGCCTGCTTGAACTTCTCCTTCATTCGCTTATGGAGCTTGGATATTAGGTGATCTTTGATCGATCCTTGCTTCATCGACGAAGCATTCGATGTAGATGGTTTCACCTGCTTCTTGTTCAACGCATACCACTCGGGACGATCATCTATCTCGGTGTCATTCATTGCCCTGCAAAAAGCGGCGCATGCATTCAGGTGCCTCACCACCTGCCCACTCTTCTTGTGATGGTTGAGTCTGGTGCGGCAATGGTTGCAGACGGCACTCTTCAACTTGTGCGGTTCCGGATCATCAGTGAAGTGGCGCCGAAACTGGCCCTTCGAGCGTCCTCTGGCACTTCCCTGCATTTGCCGACGCCTCGTCGGCCAGTCCGTCCTTCTCCGCGTCAGCCACTCCATTCTTCTCCATCACAATTACGACATCATTATCACATTCCTCGGAATCGAGTAAATCCTCATCCAGATCCTGATCCATGATCTTGCTCGCGGTGGAAATTGGGTTCGTTTGATGACGCCAGTAACTCAGGCAATGCCAAGATTTCTGATTTCCGGGCTCCGGCCTTCCGCAGTCTGTTTCTTCAGTCAGACTTCCTGCAAAAACCAAAATGGCGTTTTTTTATGATAAATCTCAAAACCTCACCTTAACTGGCCCTTCGGAATAGAGGTTTTTAATTTAAACCTTATCAAACCTAATTGTTTTAAACCTCACCTTGCCACCCATCGTTTGAAGGCACTCTTGAGAGGCGGAGATGTTTTATGGTGAAATTGGCATTGTGAATAATGTTTAGCCCACTGCCCAATGTACTCAGTTGCACAGGGAGCGTGAAGGACCTTGTGACGGCTCGTGGAAATTCAGACCTGGTGAAGTTGAGAAGAATGTGTCAATATGATGGTCAGAGATGGTGTTGTGGAGGAAATATTTTTTGGCGATTGAGCAGCAATTCAGGAGGCCGATACGAATTATAGGTAGTGCGAACGATGGTCTGGGCAGAGGGAGCCGGGCGAGTGGGCGCTGGTAGGTGGAGGGGAGACTGACAAAGTAGGGCCCCCTGCCACCTTTGTAGGCATGGAGCCACCTTCGCACGCACCGGCATTGCCCGTGGAGACCAAGATCAACAAGCGGGGTCATCAGCATTTGGTTGGGTTGACAGGCACGGTGGGACGTTGCGAGGCAAAGACCGACCAGGTCAGACCAATGCTAGACGTCGGTTGTGATGGCAACAGGGGCCAGGACTAGGGTGGACAAACAGCAGCTAGAAGTGGGAGGATGTAGGACATATCAATCAAGACAGGGAAATACAATGAATTGATACTGGATGACAATACGAGGACATAGGATATGTCAAAACATCGGCTTCAAGCTGGGGTTTATTACAGCTTCAGTACGTGTCGTTTTCAAGTTATCTTCTGCTCGTAAATGCATATTTCCGTAAATGCCTTTATGATTATCTCTGCGAAAGTAAATAAACAAAAAGCCATTCCACGACATTCGGTGTGTTTCTAAAACAAAATATGAACGAAACATTTTTTATCGTCAGATGTTTTATGTTTTTTTGCACAAGAGGCTCCCTTGTGAGACAAGAAGAGCAGCACTTGGCTTTGCACATTCACAATGTCTGCAAATACAAAAACGTGAACGCAAATTCAGGGCGCACCTTCAGTACTCCGTCAAAACTCACACGCCTCTCCCCCGCGTAGAAGACCGAGTACACGTTCACGTTCCATCACAAGCACGTGGAATTCACTCTCTTGCACGAAATACAATTCGCAGGTACTCTACGTTAGGTGCACGCAAACCTCCAAGACCAAAGCAATAACACCGCGAAAGCACATTTACTGATTCGAGTCCCGTACGCTACACATAGCAGCACCACAACAGGCTACTTTATCTCATCCTTCCTGTGACAGTTACCGCCATCAACAGCCGACTGCTGGACGAATGTTTCACCGAGCCCCCAGCACCGACACACGAGCCGTTTGCCGCTGCTTTGTCTCCTCAGTGTACGCCATCTCAGATGCGTTCCGCCGTTTTCATACATGACATCATGCACATTATAATAACTATGCAATTACAGCACATATTACAACACAATTCCACTTGGGACGGATCATTGAGCCTTATCTAGCATTATGGGAGAAAATGTTGATATTTATCTCTGATATAAATTTTCCAAATTTGCTTTGAAACCCTACGACGACTCGTGTACGTAAATGTGTAGCAGGTGACTGGCCACCAAGAGTTTGACGCACAGTTGGCTCAACGCAAGGGAATATAAGCCGGTGTGAGAAGAGGCAGAGGAGTGTTGTCCAATTGCGGTCTTCTCCGTAGGGTTCGCGGTTACTGAAACACAATAAATGACGGTCAATTTTATTCATTCGTTCTTAATGTAAAAAAAAATTAGACTTTATAAATCGCTCAGGATGTCCGTGGTGAATGCAGAAGAAATATGCAGAAGAGCTTGGGAAATTGCTCGTGCCGGTTCACCACCTGGCTGTCGTCCAGCTTGTCCTAATTGTGAGATGTTATTGCATGAACTACGCGGTATAAAACTAAATAAATATTACCACGCAGAGTTCAAATCACAGCTGCGGTGAAATGCCACAAATTCCCTTCGCCTCACCCTGGATGTGTAATAACCTGCCAATGTGACATTCAAAATAAACCCGGCCAGAGATGGGGTCTTTCCATCCCTGGCTTGTCTGCTGTGTACAATCAAGGCGCATATACAGCACAAACATGCTTTATATATACAGTGAGGGAAAAAAGTATGTGATCCCCTGCTGATTTTGTACGTTTTCCCACTGACAAAGAAATGATTAGTCTATAATTTTAATGGTAGGTTTATTTGAACAGTGAGAGACAGAATAACCAAAAAATCCAGAAAAACGCATGTCAAAAATGTTAGAAATTGATTTTCATTTTAATGAGGGAAATAAGCATTTGACCCCCTCTCAATCAGAAAGATGTCTGGCTCCCAGGTGTCTTTTATACAGGTAACGAACTTTTTGGTTCTTTCGGTAAAGTCACGTAGGTATAAATTTAAATAAATCACGACGTTCCGGGCGCAACACAAGCAACACAAGCGTTCACCTGATGATGGACGCTTGTGTTGCGCCCGAAACGTCGTGATTTATTTTATTTTATACCTACGTGACTTTACCCAAAAAGAACCAAAGAGTATCTCTCACTTTGTATAAACATGTTACTATAATTATGTATCAACTGAAATAAGTTCATGGTTTTGACACACGTTACATTGTTGCTTTGCAGTATTCGGCTTATTTTTAATGTCAGTATTTTTTTATTACTTGCATCACCACGAGACGACCAATGGATGATCGCCACTTTTAAAACAGCCACGACATATATTCCGTTGACAAGTCAGTTTGACGCGAACATCCCACGGGGCTCCAGACCTAAGGGTTTGGTCTTGATCTGGAAAAATGCCACCATGCCAGCCTCGATGTGGTCATGAACGTGGCAGTGCAGGAGCCACGTGCCAGGGTTGTCCGTCGTCATCTCCACCGTGACGAAGGTCCCCGCAAACACGTCGTACACGTCTGACACCGTGTCCTTACCCGCCACCTGCAAACAAAGACAAAGATCCCCCGTGTAGCCTTAACACACTGTTGGGGCAAGAGCTGTTAGCGAGCACCTATGAAGGGGGACACGGCACACGAGGGAGTGGGTGGCCAGCACCACGCCCGGCCGCCTTTGTCTCCCCAGTGGTGATGTTTATGCACCAAGTACTCATTTGAGGCTGAGTCGACCTAGGGGAGGCCCAGGACCGTTTCAGATAATCGTCACTGGTGGTGACCGTGAACTCGGGTCGCCGGGTCTGTAGTGCAGCGCGCTAATCGCTACACTACCACTCTCCACAAACACTTCGTGCACGTCAGAGACGTCGTCCTTATCTGCCACCTGCACACACACACGAGGACGACTTTAATTACACGGGTATTCATTTTTTGAGTATGCGATGCACAAATGGTAAATTTTCAAACATAATGGAGAGTATATCACAATAAGTATATTTACCGTATACTGGAGGAATACGATGAGCTGTAAAGCTCTTTAACACAGATATCCATTAGGGGCAGGTAAGAACATTACAACAACACAACACAACAACAACACGTGATAGCAGTGCAAAGTACAAGAAAGTTGAACAAATTACCCAAACGCAAACAAATACAACAACTTAACCATCCCCATCCTACCAGACAAAGCCCACCGAGGCATTTAACTTATTTTTCAGAAGCGACCTGGCCACAAAGTGGCTTATCACTCGGACATTTATAGCAGCAACACAATCTAAATAATCTCAATGCATGTTGCTGAATGTGGAGGGAGGAAAACTGGATTAAAAAAATCCACGCGACTAACGGGGACAACATGAAAACCCCAAATACACAGGCTTCAGGATTGGGCTCGAACTTGAGACCTCCTGCACACCGGGCAATGGAGATAATTACATCACACCTTGCGGTGTCACGACTGCGGGAGCAACTCGGCAAACGCCAAGATCCCCTCCCGGCCCCCCGCAACTAAACACACAACCCGCACGAAGCGCACCCACGCAGTGTCCCTGACCCCCCTGCGGAGGTGAATCCCGCGGGATCGAGAGTGGGCGCGCAGACAAATAGGTCGAGGCGTAACGGAGAACAACGCTCCAGGTAAGGGCGCGGCATCAGTTTAAGGTCGAAAGGTGGACGCATGATTGGCCGTGCGGCGCGGCGTTCCCCTGGGCCTTTGAAGTTTTTGAGAATCAAGGTGGGAGTCCTTCCCCCTCCGACGCTCGCAGCGTCCGTGCCGACGCCGCGAGTACAGCTACGAGGTACGTGGTGGGACGCTTGGGTGGCTGGGCTCGTCGGCAGAGTCAGGCTAAGCCCTTCCTGCTAAATATTCCCCCTCCACGTAGGGTGTATTTGCGCCATTAATAAACTTTAGTTCAGAGTATCGGTGCAGCGTGATTTCTGCGTGTGTGCGGGTAGAACCTCGGGGTGGTGTCTGCGATTTGGTGTTGTGGGGTGACTGCGCGGGGAGAGACGGTGTGCACGAGGGAGCGAGCGCAGGGCTGCAGCGTTGGCGAGGTGGTGGTGTGTGAGGTGTGTGAGGTGTGTGTGGTGTGTGTGAGGTGTGTGTGTGAGGTGTGTGTGAGGTGTGTGTGTGAGGTGTGTGTGAGGTGTGTGTGAGGTGTGTGTGTGAGGTGTGTGTGTGGTGTGTGAGGTGTGTGTGTGAGGTGTGTGTGTGGTGTGTGTGTGAGGTGTGTGTGAGGTGTGTGTGGTGTGTGTGTGAGGTGTGTGTGAGGTGTGTGTGAGGTGTGTGTGTGTGGTGTGTGTGTGTGAGGTGTGTGTGAGGTGTGTGTGAGGTGTGTGTGAGGTGTGAGGTGTGTGTGAGGTGTGTGTGTGAGGTGTGTGTGAGGTGTGAGGTGTGTGTGAGGTGTGTGTGTGAGGTGTGTGTGAGGTGTGTGTGTGAGGTGTGTGTGAGGTGTGTGTGAGGTGTGTGTGTGTGAGGTGTGTGTGTGGTGTGTGAGGTGTGTGTGTGAGGTGTGTGTGTGGTGTGTGTGTGAGGTGTGTGTGAGGTGTGTGTGGTGTGTGTGTGAGGTGTGTGTGAGGTGTGTGTGAGGTGTGTGTGAGGTGTGAGGTGTGTGTGGTGTGTGTGAGGTGTGCGTGTGAGGTGTGAGGTGTGTGTGGTGTGTGTGAGGTGTGTGTGTGAGGTGTGTGTGTGAGGTGTGTGTGTGTGAGGTGTGTGTGGTGTGTGTGTGAGGTGTGTGTGAGGTGTGAGGTGTGAGGTGTGTGTGAGGTGTGTGAGGTGTGTGAGGTGTGAGGTGTGTGTGAGGTGTGTGAGGTGTGTGTGAGGTGTGTGTGTGTGAGGTGTGTGTGTGTGAGGTGTGTGTGTGTGAGGTGTGTGTGAGGTGTGTGAGGTGTGTGTGAGGTGTGTGTGAGGTGTGTGAGGTGTGTGTGGTGTGTGTGTGAGGTGTGTGTGTGAGGTGTGTGTGTGTGAGGTGTGTGTGAGGTGTGTGTGGTGTGTGTGTGTGTGGTGTGTGTGTGAGGTGTGTGTGTGAGGTGTGTGTGTGAGGTGTGTGGTGTGTGTGGTGTGTGTGAGGTGTGTGAGGTGTGTGTGAGGTGTGTGTGAGGTGTGTGAGGTGTGTGAGGTGTGTGTGTGGTGTGTGAAGTGTGTGTGTGGTGTGTGTGAGGTGTGTGTGAGGTGTGTGTGAGGTGTGTGTGGTGTGTGTGTGAGGTGTGTGTGAGGTGTGTGTGAGGTGTGTGTGGTGTGTGTGAGGTGTGTGTGTGGTGTGTGTGAGGTGTGTGTGAGGTGTGTGTGAGGTGTGTGTGTGAGGTGTGTGTGAGGTGTGTGTGCGAGGTGTGTGTGTGAGGTGTGTGTGCGAGGTGTGTGTGTGAGGTGTGTGTGAGGTGTGTGTGAGGTGTGTGTGAGGTGTGTGTGTATTAAAACACACTCGGCCGCTGACGCTCGCGCGTGTGTGAAACACGAGCGCCTGCAGGGTGCCGCTCGCAACGCGTTGACACAGCGACAATGGCATTGACGGCGAGGCGTGCACGTGTATTCATACAGCCCTTCAGCATGCGCCTTTGTGTGCTAGCAGATTCGGGCTTAACCTCCCGGAGGGGAGCGCGCATATTAATACCGCCACTGTCCCGTTTTCATCTTCTTGGTTTTTTCGGTAAAGTCACCAAGTAGAATGAGAATAAAACAACAAAACAAAATAAGACAATAAAATTCTCACGACGTTTCGGCCACAACACAAGTATAAGAAGGCTAATTTACCTAAAAGAACCAAGAAGATGAATCCTAAATCGAACCGTCCCGTTTTCTTTAGCGCTAACCTTTGCGCGAAATAAGCACCTGCAGGGGCGCGTGCGTGCACGCCTCCGCGTGGTGGTGGTGTTGGTGGTGTTGGTGGTGGTGTTGGTGGTGTTGGTGGTAGTGTTGGTGGTGGTGTTGGTGGTAGTGTTGGTGGTGGTGTTGGTGGTGGTGTTGGTGGTGTTGGTGGTGGTGTTGGTGGTGGTGTTGGTGTTGGTGGTGGTGTTGGTGGTGGTGGTGGTGTTGGTGGTGGTGGTGGTAGTGGTGGTGTTGGTGGTGGTGTTGGTGGTGTTGGTGGTGGTGGTGGTGTTGGTGGTGGTGTTGGTGGTGGTGGTGTTGGTGGTGGTGGTGGTGTTGGTGGTGGTGTTGGTGTTGGTGGTTATCATCGATTCGTGCACGTAATGTGGAGTCATGACTGCAGGTCACCCAGTGTAGGCAGTGTATGTGTAGAGGTGTTAACTACGCAATGTTGCGTAACCTGCGTTGCCACCAGGGCGGTGCAGCATTACCTCTGGGTACAACGGTTGGGGTCAGTCGAGGTGAAACGGATCGTAGCCAGGGTTTGGTATGAACCAATCAGACGGTTCCACGTGGGAATGTATCATTGGTTCTACCTGGCCACGAGTATAAGACGGGTGACCCAACAGAGCTCGAGAAGTTCTCTCCCTACGCGAAGACAGAAGACTGGGCTGGAGCCTAGCTAGGACCCTGGACCAGCCTCACAGCCCTTCTAAGGGCTAAGGCTCGGCATACCCAGTGGTCAGGACCCACCGGGCCAGCGGTGGGTCAATTAGCCTCCCCTAGGTCCTAGCCGGAGGACGCTAGGCTAGGTTAGCGGTAGACGTGTGAGTCCCGCCAAGTCCGGAGGCTGTACCTCCTTAGGTATCAAGAAGGTTAGCGGTAGACGTGTGAGTCCCACCAAGTCTGGAGGCTGTACCTCCTTAGGTATCAAGGAGGTTAGCGGTAGACGTGTGAGTCCCACCAAGTCTGGAGGCTGTACCTCCTTAGGTATCAAGGAGGTTAGCGGTAGACGTGTGAGTCCCGCCAAGTCCGGAGGCTGTACCTCCTTAGGTATCAAGGAGGTTAGCGGTAGACGTGTGAGTCCCACCAAGTCTGGAGGCTGTACCTCCTTAGGTATCAAGGAGGTTAGCGGTAGACGTGAGAGTCCCGCCAAGTCCGGAGGCTGTACCTCCCTAGGGTATCGGGTGAGGGGACCGTATATCCCTCTGTGTGTGTTAAGGATTGTATGAGGAAATAATACAATAAACAGAGTGTGCCTCCTAAGAAATCTGCTCGTCCTTACAACACTACATATGTACTACGATTGCAGTGAAAAGCAACTAACAGGTTTCAGTGCAAATCACGTGTGCAGGGGTGATTTTCAGCTTTGGAAAAGTCACGTGTTCTTTCATTCGATCTCTCATTTAAAATTTGATTCAAATGGCCCGTTTGTGGCATTTGTACATACCATAGATAATCTTAGCTCTTTCGGTAAAGTCACGTTGAAGGGAAACAATAAAATATATAAAAAACAATAAAATTCTCACGACGTTTCGACCATAACACAAACGGTCGTCATCAGGTGTGTCGGTTTGCATAAATGTCTTTATTTTTAAACGGTGCATTTATTTATTTATAAAAACCGACACACCTGATGACCACCGTTTGTGTTATGGTCGAATCGTCGTGAGAATTTGTATTGTTTTATATATATTTTATTATTTTATTGTTTCCCTTCAATGTGACTTTACCGAAAGAGC